CTACTAATAGTAATATGATTATTTTTCCACGAGTTATTATAATATATACTATTAATGATGATATTATTTAATAAAAAGGTCGTAGTATAATCTAAAAAGTCTCTTAATGAATATAAATATCTCGAATTCATTTAGATTAACTTTATATGAATAATCAGACAATTTTAATTTACTTGAGCTAAGAATTGAACGTTTCTTTAAATCAAAGGTTTGATACTAGAGTAGATGGAAGATTTAATTTAAGAAACAATAATATTAAAATAAAAAATAAAAGATAGTAATACTAGAAATAAGCACAATAGAGTAATGATATCAAGAATAATAGATAAGATTATTATTCTTATTCTATATAAGATAATAATAATGATAAATCTATAAAGATCTATTAATTCGATAAATAATTTAAATCAAACTCAAGATTTGAAAATTGAATTTAAAATACTCCTGAAGAAGATGTTGTACAACTTTGTATTGAAATCTGAAATTTTATTTTCAAGAAGTAATTAAGAAAAGAAATTCTATAAAACGAGCTTTTTCTCAGCCCTTCGTGGCTGAAAATAATAACAGCCTTGCTAACACTTTTCATAGTTATTTTTAATATTATTTAGAATCTACACCTATACTTATATTGTGCAACTTTTAGAATACTAAAAATAAATAATATTCATATTCCTATATTTTATCAAAATATGAATTTTGAAATTATTTAAAGATTATAAGCTTTTTGAAGTGGTGATCTGTATATAGACTTAAATAGAGTATATTCAACCCTAAACTTTTAATAATAATAATAATAATAATAATAATAATAATAATAATAATAATAATAATAATAATAAATTATAGGTTTCGCTAGCCTCTCGCTTCTAGCTCGTATAAGAACGCAGAAGGCGTCTTTAAGCCCAAATCTAATAAATCTAATAAACCTTATAAATCTTAAATAGAATTTCTTTTCTAATTCTAATTCTAATTCTAATTCTAATTCTAATTCTAATTCTAATTCTAATTCTAATTCTAATTCCCTTTCCTCTTTCTAATTCCATTAATTTAAAAGCCTAAGGTTCCTTATTTCTTTTATCATACCCCCGAACCTCTGAATTAATTAAAAATGTTTATTCAATTCTTTAAAACTTTAATTCAATTTTTTAGTTTAATTCTTAAATCAATTGTTTCTTTCATATAATACAATTTGTCAATAAAAAAATTAAATCATTAGAAAACTCTCAGTTCAAAAAATAATCAATTCTCTTTCATTTTTATTTTATAAATCTTTTAATATTAATTTGTTGATTAGTTTATAAATTCAATTTAACTCTATATTTGTTATTCCCGTATAGATCTTATATACTTTCTAGATTAATTAGCTTCTAGTTATGAACTGTGTTTTAAAACCTGTATGTTAGGATATGAATTAGATCTAGATGTCTCTAATTAATTATTTTAAGTTACTATCTATATATTAACTGATATTAGATAGATATTAGTTGATACATAATCTTTATTAGAAACTATATTATGATTAATAGGAATCAAATACCCTCAAAAGTATTTCAATTCTATTTCTTGATTCTAAGCTTAAATTGAATCTTATTGTAAACTTCAAAATTTGAAGATCTCGTTTAAAATAGTCTTCGAAAATATAAAAAGTATTAGAAGAAATACGCTTTTTTAAGAGTTCAAACATTTGATTAAATCATTCATTAGTTAAATATCTTATTGTTTTATTTATATACTAATTAGTATTTAGTCTGTATATAAACATAGCTGATAGTTTTATTAAAAAACTATTAAGAAGAAAATAATAGAAAGAAATAATAGAAAGAAATAATAGAAAGAAATAATAGAAAGAAATAATAGAAAGAAATAATAGAAGAGAAAAGATTCAGAGAGAGAATAATTCTAGAGAATGTAGAAAATAATTGAAAATAAAATGACTAGGGAGAAAATAACTAGAAATGAAAATGAATATAACATCTGAGCTTAAAATCAGAAGATAAAATCAAGAGTTTTATAGTATATTAAATACATAATAAATTGATAACTCGAATATTATGGATTAGAGATTTATCTCCTTAATACTCTTACTGTCCGCAAGGACTGAAAACTATATATATACAAAAAAAGATAATCTCACTTAGTAAAACTCAATTTAAGTGATTTTATTAATTATAATAGTTTTATAATTTCCTTGATATTATAATTATAATACAAATCCTTAAAGTTTTTTTAATAAAACTATTTAAATTAATTTGAATTAAATGAAAAAAAAAGTAATAACTATATATAAAAGACTAAAGATTTTCAAATAATATATTTTCAAATATTGATTTCAAAATGAAAGTTTTTATAAAGGATTGAAGTTTCAATAATATATATAGTTAAAATTTATATAAATAATTGAAAAAGAATTATATTAGATATAGTGAGTTTATTATTAATAAAAATTATTTTAATATTTTAGGTTTTATGATTTGGTGATATAATTATTGATTTGATATGAAAATGATCTATTTAAATATGTATAAAATTGAAAAATATAAATAAAATTAAAAAATATGAATAAAACTGAAAAATATAAATAAAGATTTGAAAAAAAAAATTTATGAGGTGGTAAACTGATTTCATTTGTGAGCTTTTAATAAAATTTCATTTATTTTATACTTTCTTGAAAAGCAAGGGGTCTGGGGGCTCACAGGCCCCTGGTTACATTATTGTAAAAACATTATAGAAATTGATAAAATAGAATAGAGTCTTAAAGATAAAATATAAGCTTGAAATTAAAGAATAAAATGAAGAGTTTTATAATTTGATTAGTATAAATATACTTCTTAATGAAACTTATATACTAATTGAATCCTAAATAATATATAAAAATATCTTAATAGTATCTAATTAATGTGTCCAATTAATCGTACATTTAATTTATTTTGATTTATCAATTCAATATGACTATTTTTATAATTATTATAACAGTCTAAAAGATGTTATAAAAGTTAGTAAAATAGAATAAAACTAACTTTTATATAAAGTTTTTTTCCGATTAAAAAAGAAAGCTTGAGGAATACTTTCCATAAAGAATAAATGAAGTAAATTCAAAATTTACATGTTTCGAATCTACTGGAAAGAAAATCTATAAATCCACGATCTGAAAAATTCTTTTTCCTCGATGACTAGTATGAATGTAAGTTATTCTGATCAAAGTTTCCATCGAGTGTTGTAAATCATGAGGGAAAAGCCCCGAAACTCCTATAATTGCTACGCTCAGAGTGAATGGAAATTATCGTTCGAAAAATGACATAGTTTTGGAATGAAAGATGTAAGAAGACGGATGTATACTGATCTGATGATGATGATGAGAGGTTAGAAGAATAATATCTTCATTTTAACTTAAAATACAGTATATGATTCGAAAGATTTTGAGGACAGGCTTAGGAAAAGACTATAAGATAGCTCTTCGAAAGCTAAACTGACTGTAGTTTCTATAATTGGAATTACAAAAACATCCTACCTGCTTCAGTACTCCGAAACGACTAAGGGCCCGTTCGGATCGATTTTTTTAGGCAATATTGATAACAAATATAGCTTAAATAAACATTTACCGAACGCGAATATTAATTAATAATTTATATTGATAATATAATTGAAAAAGAGTGTTTTGCTGAATACTAATGTTGAGCTACAAAAAGCTATATTATATTGATCAATAAATTTGAAAATTTGTATAATAATTTTATCAAATTTATAATAAAGCTTTGACCAGTATTTCGTTTATATATATTACTTTACATTTCGTAAGCTTATGAATCTTAAATTTAATATTAACAAATATAGACTAAATTATTAATCAACAAGTCTACTAAATTCATTTTGACAACAAATTAAAAAATCGATCCGAATGGGCCCTAAAATGGTGAAACAGGTAGAAGAGATGCCACAGGCCAATGTGCGGCTAGCATGCAGGGGCCCAGCGCCAGAGACATGGTGAGCATTATTGATCAGAGCGATGGCTACCAGTTACCGCGAGAGTCAGCTCTCAATAACTTCATATAGAACTTACAAGGTCGACTTCGACTAAAATTTTAAAACATAAAGGATCTCGAAGAAGCATTGGAAAAGACTTTATTACTAGGCTTGGCGTCCAATCAGGTTCTAACCTCTCGAATAAAATAAGGAGTCTTCAACTTACGAGTTTGATTAAGTGTTAAGGATTGCTACGTCTATATGCTTAAACAAAAAGTAGTGAACGTAGCACTTGCAGAGGGAATTTGACAGAAAAAGGAGTGACATTAGGCGAAAGGTCACTCAATTTTAGATAAAAAGACATCTGACATGATATTATATAGATATTCTCAAAATTTGATGTTGATTTATGTGCTAGTAATAAGTGTTGAGCTGTCAGTTCTCCATATCATCTAGTTCTCCCAATTCTTTCAGAATTTCATCTAAAGCCTTCTTACGATTAATCTCCAACCTTCCCAAATTCTCTATTTTCTTCTCCTGCATCATGAAAAGCTCATTTACACTCTTGATCCACTCTACCAAGCCCTTACAAACCCTTTCAAATGAAAACATATTCTGCCAATTTTCCTGCTCATCATCACCATCATCGACTTGCATCAACCCATTGGCATCTCCTTCAATTTCAACCTCCATACCTACCATTCGCACCTTTTCTATCGCTTGTGCTCTCCATTGTTCCAATGCTGCTTTTTTCTCTTTCACCTCAGCTTTCTCCATCACAATACTTTCTCGATATATCAATTGCTTACTGCCTTTACCTACCTCTGATATTCAAAACCTTCAATTTTTAGTCTCTCCTCTAAGCCTAAACTTGGAAAGAAACTTGTAGACACCTTCGTGGAAACTCCATGTCTATTTCAACTCTGGACATTTGCGCTCCATGGTTTTTTTCATACCGAGCTCGATTACGCATACCTTCATTACCGCGATCATTCCCCCGGCTCTTCGGATTAACATTGTACGTGGAATGGACTGAGTTCCTACGATATATTGCTCTTCCGAGTTTCCACCAAATCCTCATCATCAACAAGGCCCATTTCAATAGAAATTGAGCTCAGATAGCGTGGGGTGTGGTGTTGATATGTGGGCGGCGATGAAGAGATTTGTCCGTTATCCTTAGAGCTCATTCCGGTCTTTCCTGCACACTCGAGATTACTGAGTGTACTATATACATCATGATCTTGTTCCAATTCAAGTCCATTCCTACTGAAAACACTTAGAGATTCGAAAATCTCGAATCCATTATGAATCTCACTTGTTGGCTTTTCGATTTGAGAATCATCTTCGTCTTCATCTTCATTACTCTCTTTGTCTTCATTGTTATGATCGCCTTCATCACTGGCTTGGCCGTCGTCCTCGTCTTTCATTTGGCCATCGTTCTCGTTGTTGTATTCGTTATTGTTGTTCTCATTGAATCCAGTATCGTCCTCCTCGGCGGACGAATGGTCTTTACTGTTGTTGATCCCTATCACAATGAGAATCAGTAGGAAATCATTTCTCGAGCTATCATGTTCAATACATACCATCATCTGAGGACCCATGCAGATCCCCCAAATTCTTATCATTATTCACATCACTAAAAAAACAATTTTCATCGTGTGCTTCCCCATCCACAAGACTACCCTCATCCTCCGTTCTCTTTTCCTTCTTTCCATAGTCTCCCTTTCGTCTCTTATGCCTCCGAGAAATTGCAACCATACCCATATTATTGATGGGCTTTTTTGGCATTGAAGTATTTGTTTATCCCTCTTCCGTCCCTCCCGATGACAATACCTCCTCACCACCAACCTCATCTACCATCCCTCCCGGTGGCAATGCCCACTCCTCATCACCCTCTCCCACCACTCCCGATGATAATGCACTCTCGCCACCATCATCGTCAAATATACTCGATGTTTTTCTTGCACAAAAGTTCTGCTTTGGCCACGAGTCCATCTGTGTCAACCATTCCAGGAAGAGTAGCGAATGATCTCTTTGTGTACTGAGACTCAGAGTCATCGCCGTCTTCTGACCAACCCACATCATCACAATAAGAGGAAATCAACTCTTGTATCTTATCTCCAAAATGTACATCCTCAAAAGAAACGTTAACTTCATTCAAAATTTTATTAACAAACGGAATACAGCTATTGGCGAACCTACTTTATATATCCACTTATGAATACATCTTTGAATATCTTTCATTAACCCTTTGGATTCAATTAATTAATTTCACTATTATTATAAAGCTTACTCTAGAAATTATAACGTATCTAAAAAAACCCTTAATTGCTTTAATCTAATTACTTCTTTTTCAATTGAATTTTCTTCTCTTTCAAGATTATATACTAAATTGAAATAATTTTCTTAGACTTCCCTTTCTACCCGGTTGGAAAAACTAAGTTTCAATTAATAGAAAATTTTGTATATTATTTATAACCAATCAGAAGGGGTTTTTTAATCTACAAATATGAAAATAGTCTATTTATAGAAATATATTATTATATAAAAGAGTATATAACTACTTAGTTTACTTCTATTATTCTATTATTCTATTATTCTATTATTCTATTATTCTATTATTCTATTATTCTATTATTCTATTATTCTATTATTCTATTATTCTATTATTCTATTATTCTATTAATTTGAATTCGAGTATAATAAGAATCAAGGATTGAAAAGTTAGTCTCTATATACTTTATATTATTTTATAATAAAATTAAAATTTATTTATATACCAAAAAAATTTATTATGTATTATAATATTATTAATTATTGGGAAAATAAATTCAAAGTCTACAAAATTATAATGTTTCAAAATTAATGTAATAATTAAAAAGGAAAAAGAAACTTCTATAAAGTCGTAGTCTGAAAATTCGATGTCTAGTTTGACTTTGATTCAACTAATTTAATTAATTTGATTCCACTCTGTGTTAATTACTTCAATTGATTTAACTTTATATTAATTTAAGTAATTTAATTAATTTGATTTGACTTTAGTTTATTGATTTGATTGATTTAATCAGTTTAATTACTTCGATTTAATTAGTGTAATTGCTTTTAATCTAATTGATTGATTTGATTGATTTGATTAATTTAACTGGAGTTCATTTAGCCGATTTAACTATCTCATTACAAAGCACATGTAACTTCCAGAAAAGGTTCGAACAAAGTATATTAGTATATATAATGGTGTAACATCTGAATCAGAATGTGATAATGGTGACGATTTCAATCGCGTTTAAACAGTCAGCTCAATTGGAGTAGATATGTCTGAAATTCGGTTATTTATCTCTGCTGGCGCCCCACCTCGCTAAGGTCTGGATTTCAGGGATAGGATGACCAATCGAAATTTTCATCAGTCATTCAAATCAATCTCCTCAAATTGAAAGATTTCCCCAAGTCAATCAACCATCTCCTTTTCCTCCTCTCCCTCCTTTTCCTCCTCTCCCTCCTTTTCCTCCTCTCCCTCCTTTTCCTCCTCTCCCTCCTTCTCCTCCCATCCCTCATCCCCTACTCATCAACAGAACGACCCCAGCTCTCAAATGAGAAACCAATATTCCCCATTCACGCCTAGTGAAGACAATTGCGCTTCGTGTAATTATGCTACTTCCTTTCTCTCTTCACATTTCGATTGAGAAAAACGAAGTAAGGATAAAAGGTAGCATGTAAAGTGCAAATCTCTAATATACTTCCAACGTGATGATAGTTGTTGTAGCATAGATGTATCGCGCGCCACAATGACAACACCATCAACAATAAATAGTGACAGGAATAGTTACAGGCAACTGAGAACAGTCGGTAAGTAGAGTTAATAAGCATACATCAACACAACTTACAGCAAGAAAGGCGATTTTCATTTAGTGAGAAGATAGATCGAGGTGAGATAAACGTGAGATCAAGTCTCGAGTGACTAAACATAATATTTGTTAGTAATTTGATAGATCGAAGTAAATGGCTGATGGAATAATAAATGAAGAGAAATGTATCATACTCATGTGTGTATATAAGCTTAATCGATGGAAACATCCTGATGCTAGCAGTGACGAGATTATTGAAGCTGGGAATGCAAGTAGTTGTGACTCTTAAACGTGTATAAACTATCGGGGACGATATTGTCGAAGATGTGTGGTTGCAACATAATAATAATGATAAGAAGAGAAATTAAAGGTTACAATGATGCATTATATAGAATCATAAGGTAGATATGGCGATGTAAAGCAATGAACAAATGTATGTATGCTATCTAATCCGTAGACGACGTTGTCTTGGAGATGAGGAAGTAGACTTTGACCTGATTTTGTCAATACAAGAATAGCAAACAGTAAAGGTTACTTACTATCAATAGAAAGACAAGCAATGATGTTGATAAGTCTTGGAATGTCATTTGATCGTTTACATACTTGGCGCATTTATTTGATGGCGAGAAGTGATTTGATAGGACTCGGTAGATGGACTGGATATAGTGTATGGACTTCGGAGCGAGAAGCGAGAAGCGACTTGATAAATTGGAACTTGGTGATAGACTTTGAGGAAGGAATTGGTGGCGAAAAGTGACTTGGTAAATTAGTACTTGATAGATGCACTTAGAAGATCGTCGTAGCATATGGTGCTGAGTGGGAAGGATCAGGGTTTGAATATGGAGTTGTTACTTACTACAGTGTCGAAAAAGGACGTAGATAAACAGCAGTTCGTGGAGAGAAGAAAAGTGGGAAGGAATAGTATGAGAACGTCGATGATGCCAGTGGGAGGTATTTAGACGATTGATGAGGAAAAGCATCATAGTAGAAAGAGGCCATTCGGATTAATGTCTGGTGGATAGAAGTGATCTGGTGAATGGTCTTGAGAATTGACTGAGGATATAGACTTGGCTAACGATTGGATGGGTGGACTTGTGGTGAAAAGCAATTCGGCGTATGTACGTGACTTATGTGATTGGCGTATGCATTTGATTAGTGCATGCGGTGTATGTTCAATGTATGTCCTCAAATAATGAGAAGTGATTCGATAGATTGTACGAAAGAATTATTGTATTGGCATCGAGCGAGCTCATCAAAGTAGAATGAAGTGGGGTGAGAGAGTAGGTGAGGATAAAGGGGAAATGAGATAAGGAATTAGGAGTGAAAAGCGACTTGGCCAATTGACATTCTGTGAATTCCCAGGGACGATGGATTTCGACGGTGATGACTGAAGTGGAGGAGAGGTCTGGGATAGAGATTTTATAAATTTTATCAATAACTCTTGAGACGAAGTTGGGGAGGTTTTGCTTCAGTGAAGAATAGTGATAGTAATTTCGATAGTGGTAGGTGATATGATGTAAGAAGAGAATCAAAATAAAGTGAGTTGAGGGATTGGAAAAGGAAGGATGATAAGATGCTTTTAGTATCCATTGGCGTTGAGAAGAAGTTGAGGTTCGAGGTAAGAGGAGGATCGAAGTAAAAAGAGATAAATGAAGAAATGAAGCTGGATAAAATAATACGAGGAAAGAAAATTCATATCAAAGTCCGATATTGACAGAAGTTTTGAAGAGAGAGAATCAAGTTGTTGAAGTTGTATAATGATTTCCTACAATTTATTAGTATCAGTATGAGAGATAGATGAGTAAGGAGAGACGAAGAGATGGAGATATGGAGAGAAATATCATATATCAGAGAAATGAAACAAACAGTAGTGTGCATGGCAGTGGAGGGCAAACCTAAAAGAGAAAAATTACCTCAAGGTGATAATTCGAGAGCCACTAAATTCCAGGTATGTGAATAATCTTAATCGTGTTGTAAGACGAATAATGGTGGGAGGAGAAGAGTGAAAATTGAGGAGTTCCACAAGGATGCAAAAAATATTGAGAGGAGAGTAGAAGAAGAATCCTTCCATATTTGTGATGAATTCTATTCATCGACCGAGAGGCTTCGAGTAGTCATGTCGTATATAGGATGAAATGAAGAGAAAAACTTGACCACGTTCGGACAAAGCCATGTCGACACCAGTTGAAATGAATCGTTAGAGAGATTGTAACAACGGAGGGGTGAAACCGGGAGAACAGAACAAGCAAGTAAGCAAAATCATCTGCTCTCAAACTTTTATTTCATTTCAGCTTATCTTGATGGCGTTAAATGCGCGTCCACATTCAATGACATCAAGATCCGATATGTTAACCCACAGAACGGTGCTTTGTGAGAGATGAATGAACAGCGAAAGGGGTGAAGAGGAAATAAAAGAAGGGAGATTACAGGAGAGGTAACATCTTATCATTCATGTGTATATGAATGCTCTTCATCTGTAATATGAAAATCGGTTGGTGAGTTGTTACCAATGTATGAAATATAACAAAGAAAAAAATGTAAGAAAATGAGAAAATGAGAAAAGAACAAGTCAGAATGAATAAGAAAGGTACAGAAAGTTTCATCTTCATTTTGAGACAAAGATGCTTCCAATATCAGTAGCGAATATTTTTAACTCAAATAACTACCACTCCCAAAATCTGCTTCCTATTTCCATTCCTCCTTATCTTCGTTGAAAGTCTTCATTCATATCTGTTTTCAAACCTTGGTAGTTATCGTGAGATATACTATATTATCTTGTTACTTTTCCAGATACCCACGCAGCAAAGTCATTTCTCGAACTCTATTACTCATGACAGAACTGTCAGCACTACCGGGCCAAGAGCCCACAGGACCTGTAAGTTTTATGTATCTCAATGCTTCGACGCTCGTTCTCACTTTACTTACTACTCTCCTTGAATTTATTACCACACCTCCCCCCCTTCAATCATCACGTACACACTCTTGCCCCACGCTCTCCACTCCCCGACTCTCCCAACTCAATCTCCACACTACCAATATACTAAATTATGATCCCAAATCCACTAGGCCAGCCCCTCCGCCATTTCCTCTCCCCCCACTTTAACTCTTATGACCCACCCCATCGCTCTACTTAGCTCTTCTTCCCGCTTCGATTGGTCTCCCACCCAAAAATCCATCATCACAAACTTCATCATCTCCAACCGCCTCACGAAAGTTCAATGTGGCAAATCCAAGACCAACAAATTATCCGCCGCACAATTTGATCCATTTGTTTGAGACTTGGATTTGGAAAAGTGTCGGGGTGTGACCACCGGGGATGGAACAGATGTGATGGATATTGTGGTGGAGAAGTTGCGCACGAGATTTGTGAATACGTGGGAGGGGAAAGGTAGTGATCAGGTGCATTTGAAAGCTATTATAGAGGGAAAGCTGTTGCCATTGGAAGATCCTTTGGTTGGCAATGGCGCTGTGGCTATTAATGATATGACTATGGATATTGATGTTGGTGTCGAAGATCAAGCTCAGGCCCACCCAATCCAAACATCTTCGAATTCATCTATCCTTGCATCAAGCCCTACCAGCATCATCACATCCCCACTTTCACCATCAAACCCATACTCCGCTTCATTGAGAGCTCGCCGACAGCCTACTTTGAAGCAAACATCCGGTACACAACAAATGGAGTCGGAGCTTTCAGTTTCCATTGTATCTGTACCAAGCTCCGCAGCCCCGCAACCACCTTTTCCGCTCAACATGGAGAGTGGAAAATCTCAGAGCTCGAATGACAATGCAGCCGCAGATAATTCTTCTACGATCGCTGCAGGCGCAAGTAACTCATCTGTAAATGGGTCTCAGCGATTGCCGTCTCGCAATCCACGTTCCCGTGTTGAACAAAATCGGGGAGTGGAAAATTTTGCCACACCTGGAATGTCGGTTGAGATCAATCTCGATCCAAACCAAGGTCTTAAACAGCTTCCTCTTGATCCATACCCTTATCTAACCGATGCGGAAAAAAAGGATCGATTGGAACATCTGAAGCGGGAACGAGAAAGGAAGTTGCAACAGGGCAATTTGGAGATCGATGCCTTGAATACTACTTTAGAGGGAGTAAGTATTGGTCAAAAAATCAATACAGAACCTCGATTTGAACATGGACAAAATCCATCCGGCAGCTTCCTGTCGAGCATTGTTGGGAAATTGAATAAAGGAACAGAGTGGCTTGTTGGACAGCAGGTACAAGCTAATACCCAAGATTTGCCTGTGTCGGGACAACACAACTTCGGAGATGGCACTGGGAGTCCGATTCAAACTCAAAATCAGAACAGGGAGAGTCCTGGGGCTTTCATGCATGGAGGTCTGGCTGTTCCTAGTCAGCAAATTGATCATACCTCTCAAAATTATCAACAGAGAGATTCACGAAGCTTCATGAACGGGGGATTAGCGTCCAGTGTGTTCGCGCCTACACCACTTCAGAAGGGAAAGTACCCATCTCAGGTTCAGACTTCTCAAACTCCGAATTATCAAGCACAGCATGCACAAAATCTGATGAACAATGGATTAGATACCCAATCTCAATGTCAACAATATTCACGTCCTACATTTCCAGAGAGTCAAGATCTTCGTCCTGAAACTACCTCGACTTTACCAAATCGACAAGAATATAGAAGTCCTTTTACAGTCAACGAATATGGAACAGATACTTCTCAACAATATCCTCAAGTCTCGCAATATCCGTACACAACCGTACAACAGCCTGCTACAAACCAGCGAAGAGTTCACTTTGTCAACACTCAGAGTCAGGAGCGAGAAGCACCAGCACCAAAACCTGCACCAACACAGAATCCAATACAGATACCAATTCCGAGTAATGCACATCGACAACCCTTTGCGGAACAACAAACCCCCTCACACCGTCAATATTTGGCACAACATTCATCGAGTAATCATTCCACCCCAGCTCCAATGCAAACGCATGAAGTCCTCGGCAATCGAGTGATGCTTGAGGATCCCAGAGCTCTAGAAGATGATGACTCGACCACTGTGTTCCATTATCCAATTCCATCGATACAGCCACAGCAGCAGCAACAACAATCGCAAAGTGTGTACGGCATGAACACGAATATGTATCCTCACCAGGAGAGCTATCACATCCCTGAGGGCCAAAACATTCCACAACCTCATCCGGCTGCTCGCACCCCTGCACAATACCCACCGTATCAACATCAAAGCCACCCTTATGGTGCTGCTCATTCGATAATAGCAAAACCCGACTACAATGGCAACCACGCTTTCCCCATCTTCCCAGGACCCCGTCATGGCTACTCACAGTCTCCTTATTATCCTTCTGCTGCTGCACAGCATGCCCTCGCTGCGCCAATAGTAACCCCAAATCATTACGTTCTACCTTGCCCCTCGACACCAGCTTCGCCCACGACCCCGACCCCACAATGTAGTCGAGATTTCACATCATTCCTTCACGATACTAAAAAGACTTATAAGAAGGAATCACTCAAAGATAAAGCAAAGATCGAGGCTTATCAACGAGCAATGCTTAAAAAGGAGAGGGCTAGGAAGATTAACATTTTGGTAGGAATGGCGAACGAGGTGAAGGAAGATGGTGATTTGAATGGAGGTGATAATATTTGGGGAATCTAGAGTGTGGAATATAGACTTTCAATGAAATCTCATAAGAGGAGGGGAAGAAGAAGAAGGGTAGAAATCGACAAAGATGGCCGGATATGGGCAGAGAGGAGGAAAGTGGATGGTTGTAAGTAAACGAATAAAGATGAAGTTTGATGGGAATGCTTACTGATGGGAATTTAGTTTGATAGAATGCAATCTTCTAATAGTTGTAAACTAATCGAGATAACAGTTTTGTGAATCTACATGTGCATTTCTGGTCAAGGATAGAGGTAGATGGTTAGTTGCCATACACTTTCAGACTGTGGGAGTTATCAGTGGAAGGAAGTACATGTATATCATGAAGCACATAAAGAAATTATGGAGAGTTTTGAGAAGTTTCCCAATTCCTCAAAATTATATTATTTCCTTAGCTTGGGAAAATGTTCTTTCGCATTCACTCGATATCACAGGAGTGGATAGCATATCCAGCATGTCGTTAAAATATGCTGTTTGACAAGATTAGAAAGTTCCATGTGTATCTCAATCTTTTAAATCGCCATGTATCATTTGGTCTGCAATCACAGTGAAATTATTTTTGAAGAGCAAGTATTCTGGGAATGATGAAAATAAATCATCATGTGGACGCAAGCGCGTGTGATATACCACTGCCCAACCTCTAGCATTAAGGTTCTTTATGGACCAAACCAGATCAAAGACAAGGTTTAGGTAGGAAATTTGGCTGGAGCAAGGACATCTTTTGAACCATAGCGCAAATGCCATGAGGGGGGCGAACTTGTAAAGGGCATAAATCTCTGGTAGAATAAGAGAGTGAAATTTCTCTTAATTGTCATTTACGGCACGAATACAAAGCATCAAGCTGCGGTCTATACCAATCTTACTTGCTATAGCATGCCTTGAACAGGCTCCAAAACCCACTCCTCTTAATTAAACAGCTATATTGCCGCAACAATCGAGACTATCAATTGAAACTTTCCTGAAACACTGCTCTTAAGGGATTTTTGATAGCATAGTAAATTTGGTATAGTCCACTCCACTAAAGATGTTTAAAATTACAGTCAGCATCAATTTATCAATTCATCACGATCATCACCTGCCTAGGTAACTGCATCTTTGCATGCGCATTTTGGGGCATTGGAAAACGGGACATAAAACATGGCAGAGATGTAACAATGAACCCCTCAACCACACAAGATGTATTTGCGCTCAACCAATGATATATATCAGACAACAAGATGCAAAGAGGGAGTTTTCTCATGGCTGGCTATACACAAAACATCTCCACTTGGTATTTGGGCGTGTAGCATGGTAATTTGTCATTCAATTTATCAAAATCCTTATCCAACCTTGTTTACCAATTTATCAGACATTGATTCAGGTACTTGGTCGACGCAAGACTGAGCTCAATGTAGAGAGCGGATGTTTGAAAGCTGGCTTTGACAACTTTAACATGCACAATTGGCCCATTGAAAGTGACCAGGTATTGAGACAGATCACCTCGATCTGCTTCAAAGTACTTCTCCGTCTGCCGTGAATGTATGGAAAATAGCTCAAGATATTTTCATCACTTCTGCCAATGGCTTCCCAATTGTTACCAACAAGAATGTAATTAGCAATAAGCCCTTCCAGATATACTGGTCTGTCGTTTCTTCTATGCTAGCATACTATGCAATCCATCTTCGTGGTTCGGTCCTTGGTGGAAGTTTGTGATGTGAACTGGGAGTTTGAAAGCTCTTTCAATCATAAAATAAGAAGGCTCTAATTAGCAGCGTTGTTGATGCCTTCGTCCAGCTTATCTTACTACGCGAAATTTCATGCCCGCCAAGCCTGACGACGGAAAAACACGATATTGATATTATACAGATTGCCGACAGGTCTGCATTTCCTTCGTTTCTTAGATCCTTTATTGAAGCAGAATACTAGCTAGCAATGCACAGGCTCAGAATCTGTGCTATGGAGGAAGCCGTTGGTACCAAGGTTGAAAACCTGTTACAGGTAATGCATCCTGTGGTGACAAAATCAATATTTGAGACGAAGAGAATTTTACTATAAATCTCTATACAAATTTTCGAATGTATATATTATGATATTAATAATTTATTTATTATTGACGAATAGTCTATTTTGTTTATAATGAATAGAATCAATACTTTTTGTGATTCGTTTAGTATTAATTTTAATAGAAAAAAAGAAAAATGTGAATTATAAGATTTTAGTATTTAAAGTTGAAATGGAGATGAATAAAGGGAATGAATATACAAACTAAAAGGAGATTAGAGAAGTGAATCAAAATTAAAAGGGAAGAAGGGGGGGGGTAAATGGAAAAGTTAAAGGTATTAGTCGAAAGTTTAAAGAGGAGGAATTTTGTTTCCTTATTATTCATTTTCAATTTATTTTTTAATTAATAGTTTTACTATTATATTATATAATATAAAATGTATTCAATAAATAGAAATTTTGAATAATTCTATTATATATATATATTTATATCTTATTAATTATTAATAGAATTTAATAAATAAACTTTCAATTAATTTTCAAAATTCATAAAAATTTATAAAAATTTAATTAAATCTTTTTAAAATAAAATTCTTTTGTATATAGCAATATTTAAATAAAACATATTAATTTATTAAAAACAATTTTTTCAATATATGATTAAAAGTTTATTATTTTAAAATAAATAATAAAATAATTATTTTGTCATCTACAGATTCTGCCATCACAGGGGCAGGTCTTGGCTTGCTCAAGGTTCCGAGTGGAGAAAGGAGTAGCTGTGAAGAATATGGAAATGACAATATCGATGGCAACATAGCGATGTTCCGCATTTTCCATGACAGAACGCCCCATAACTCCTTCAATCCAGCCTATGTATAAGTCAATGATAACCATTGTCTAGATGTTTTTGTACTTGAGTGTGATTAGGTGGAAAGGCTTTGTATATAGGGGTGAACAGGAAGAGCTGAAAAGGAAAAATTAGTCACTGAATATGGAAAGCGGTTGGAAGGAAAAGGAAAACAAGTTTGCTGTTCGATTGTGCTATGTTATTTATAATGATCAATGTTCAATATAGTGTGTGTGTACAATATCTAGTGGTGCGAAATGAGTGAGAAGAAGTTGACAAGAAGTAGTGACAAATATTTGGCATATTGTCCAGTGTTGTACCAATGAGATCTTCTGAGAAGTATCTTATCTCATCAGAAACGACCAATTGTTGAGAAAAGGTTAGAGGAAAAGGTGTCGATTCACATCAAATAGTATCTTGCAAAAGAGACACATTTTCGCAGTAAATCCGACAAAATTACAGCAGACTAGGTGAATAAAAGAGTAAGTGGACAGGAATTGCGCAGTGTGTATCTGATAATAATAATCAATAATGATTATGTTGATGAGTTTACCAACTGAAAGGACAGACTCGTAAAATTAAAGGAGATGTAGATGCGACCGACCGTGGAAAATAAATAACGTGATGTTGTGAATTTAAGATTAAAGCGGAAACCCTGTAGTGGTAAAATTCATGGGTGACGAAGTGATCGTTTTATGAATTTCAATAGATTCATTATACTTTAATTTAATATTGAAAAAAGCATGTTTAGTGAAACGATATAACAATCTCATTTTTAGATTTAACAAAGCTTATTTTTGAATTTAGAAAGTTAAGTTTTAGTCGGGGGTAATTACTTTTATATTGAAGAGTCTTTGTATGCTGAATTCGATTAATAACTAACATATTGTGAATAATATTAGAAAATAATTCTATTATTATTTATATAATATAACAGTGAAACTTCCAATTGAAGTATGAATTAAAAGTGAAATAGTACAATCTACAAATAGATCTGCTTTTAAATTTTTGATTGATATTTCTTATCCATTTTCTAATATATGATTTTATTTTATTTCTCCCTCTTCTTCATCTTAATTTGTTTGTTTAATCTTTTTTCAATCTTTCTACTTATTCCTTTCTATCTATCTTTTCTACAACTCTAATATTGAAAGAATCTAAGACTTTTCAAACCACTTTTTTTTCGAAATTCAATGATAAATAATTCACAGAAGGCACTGATTTTAATTAAGATCTTTGATTTTTCTACAAAAAGCAACTGAATGAAAAACTGAATAACAGATGGTTATTCTACTCATATATTCAAGTAATCTAATATATCTAAGGTATCTCAGAAATTTAAGAAATTTAAGAAATCTAAAGAATTATAATCAAGGTTATGATCAGAATAACAATATAAAATTGAAACTCAAGTATAGTGAAGATTAGAGGCTTGAGGGCTGACCCTCATATATATTGAACTATATTATATTATATTAGAATCAAAATTGAAAATAGCATTTAACGTCATGTAATATATGAAATTTTGAACTTTCGAATAAATCATCATTAAAATCTTGTTTATTTAGAGTCTTGAATTAAATATTATATTGATAATGTTTAGATACTTGGATATTATTTTTAGATTCTAGAATTATATGGTTATCGTTTTACTATTATTAATATTGTATTTAGATTATGATATATTTCGGTTTATTCTATTAGAATATAAGATGTTAATCTGAAGTTATAAGATTGTCAATAATTACCTATTTATAAATGGTTTAAAGATATTGAAGCAAATTTATTGATTCTCTCTAAACTTCTTTTATATAGGTAAGTAATAATTGAA